CCGGGCGGACTGGGCCTACCGGCAGCAGGAATTTGAGGTATTTCCAGGGCTCTTGCACGGCCTGGGCCCTGGACCGAGCCTGGGCCTGGTCGGTGGAAGCTGTGGGGATATAAACTGGGGTGATCCTATAGTCCCCGGTGTGCTGAGTGAATGTGTACGTATATTTATATAAAAGCCACCCGGCTGAGCCATGGCCTAGAGCTGCTAGAGTCTGTGGTGCGGTTACGTCCAGCTTGATGGCTCCTCGTTTGTGCTGAAAACACGACAGCCCCACGGGCAGTCGCGGTGACCTGGTGAAGAGCCGTCCTGCTGGCTGAGCTGTGGTCAGGCCACGACGGGTAACTGTGTTCTGGCAAGCTCCCCCAGCCAGATGTCACCTTTCCAGGAGTCGGCCTGAAGTCAATGTAAATTGGCCAGAAACGCTGCTCTGCACCCGGAGCTGATCCAGATCAGGCTTGCACATCCGAGTGGTTCAGTAGTGAGCGGAGCTGGTGTTTGTGGCCATGGAAGTCATGGTCAGCCAGAGTTAAGCATGTGGATTTCTCTGCTCCTGGGGATAATACCATGTCCCACAAAGGCTGTTAAGTCACTGGCAACCACCTGGCTGCTGCTCACCTTTCTCGGAGCTCCCCCCGCTGTCAGGTGAAAGCTGACTGTAGTTGTCAGGCTCCTGACATTTGGCTTATGAGCCTCATCGTTAATTGTCCCACCTCTCTGCTGTCTCCCCTTGCTCTGGATGGCTGGTTGTGCCTTTGGGGTGCATTTATGTTCCCTGTTTCTGTTCCTGCCTGCTGTAGTCCTAGACCCTGTCCTCCCTGCCTATGTCCTGAGCCGCATTCCTGATTATTGATACTCTCCTGCCTCTGTAGTCCTAGTTGCAGGATCCAGTCTTTTGTTTCCTTGTTTCCTGGTTGAAATCAGCTGCTTCTGCCCTTGTTTCAGCTGTCATAGCATCTTGTTCCAGGCTATGCTTTGCATTACAGGCTCCCTGATTTCAAAGCCCTCAGGCCAACTTCTGACTTCACTCTTTTTGCCTTGCCCATTGGATTTGTGGATCTTTTTGTACCTCGGTTGGCACTGACTTCTGCTTTTTAACATTATTCCAGCGCTACTGTTGCCTTGTCTATACCTGACAGATGCTTTCCAATCTCAGCTGAGACACCCTGAAGGGATTCATAAGTGTGCTGAGAAGAGAGATGCCTCAGGCTGCGGTCAGACATGGCTGCTGACCCTCAGGAAGAGCAGATTGCTCCTTGCTGTGCGCTGTGGTGCCCTCTCAGGAGAGAATGACACCCCCTCAGATCTTCTAGTGGAACAGACCGTTGCTTTCTAATCCTTTTCTGTTGCAGTGATCCGTGTTAAAAATGTCTAGTCTTCAGTCTTATTGCTAACCTGGATCACTGCAACACAACCAGAATCAGACTGCACATAAAATTACCAGAACTAGACTGCAAACAAAATTACATTTTCACCAGTGGTTGCTGCACTCACTGGGCAGAGGGGAGCTCCCTCTTTTGCTTGAGAAGGAATGTGAACATAACACCAGGGAAGAAAAATATTTCAGCCATTTTGCTAGGAGTTATTTAGGGTATGTTGCCTGGATGCTCTTTCTGTTAGAACCATTCAAGTTTGCAAGGAATAATTAAATATTCATTTTGAGAGATGGGAGAATGAGCACTGCTCTTTAGTCTTCTGGTCTGAGCACTCACATGGAGGGGGAGGAACCAAGATTCCAGTCTTAGCTTCACTGAATACTTAATTTAATGTATTTAAATGTTAATTGGAGTCCTGCTGAGTGCCCTGAGCATTACGCTACAGAAGTATTGCTCATTCTTGTCTTTTTCTTTAGCCCAATTAACATTTAATAATTTCATGCAAATTAGAACCATCCTACAGGAACGCTGGAGATTCATCTTCCCTGCGGTATTCTCCAACTTGCTGGTTATTCATGTGAGGTGAGGTACTTGCAGGTTCAAACCTTCCCATGGAGAATGTCATGGATTTGAAACAAAGTCCCCCAAATTTAGGATGAGTGCTCTGATCATTAAGTTGGTAGCTGGGGAAAAGACGCCTTGTGTCACATATTGCCCAGGTCGGTAGATGATCCCTTCTGGATCAGGCCTGGTGGGGGAGAGGTGGACAGATGTGTGGTGAATCCTGCCAAGGCTTAAACACGAGTTAGGATTGAGGTTGCTCATCACCGTCTAGACTTGGCTGTGTAGTACCAGGGCCCTCATGTGTTGCTAGCGTAGGTGGTAGCTGAGTCCAGAGAAACGAAAATGCGGACTTCAGCTCCTGAACTCCCTTTGTGACTGTAGTCATAAACAAAACATACTGTCAGGCTTACCTTTAAATGAAAACCTCTCACTGTTTTGTTTGGCTTTTCTTTTTGTCGACACTACTAGAAAGCCCTGTGTGAATACTCAAACTGCTTACTGCTCTTACCTCCCAGTAACATTGCAATGAGACGAGATGTCCAAGAGGGCCAGGCTCGGTGTTTATCTCGCCTAGGAAGGCACAAGGAGGCTCTGGATATTGCAGAAAAAATGGTAAATAATGCAATCTTTCTTTTAGGCTTTGAACATGAAAATATTGCCAGTAGTTCTTTTATATGGACCATTTTTTGGAAAAATAATCTTCAAGTGTATAATCCTTCAGGATGTTCAATCCTCAGAGTATTTGGTAAACAGAGGGTAACTGTCACTGCAGATATAATCACTCTTTAGAAATCAGAACACCCTGTACCACAATGAGCTCCCTGTGCAGGGAAGCTGGTAGTCCTGGAAGGGACTAAATATCATGCTCTGCCAGGCAGAATTAATGTAATGTAATAGGAATTATAAGAAAGGGGATAAATGAGTGCTTAAATCTTTCCACTGTAAAAGTGATGGTTGAAAACTCCCTTTTATTTCCGTATACTTGCTGCCAAACTGCCACCAAGAAGAGTATCTAACCAGAAATTGAGTTTTTCCCATAAAGGAAAAAGTCCAGAGGCTCTGAAGTCTGCTAGAATTTTACTGCTGCTGTTTATTTTATATAAAAGGTGTTTATACTACAAAGAAGGGCAGCTGTATAAAACTCTGAAGGCAAATAAACAAATGACAACATTTGGGGCCTTCTTCCCTTTCAAACTGGGACAAGGCAGTTAGAGGGAATGCTGTCAGCTTGATTGTGCATGATGTGTCACGTTGTATCATTTAAAATTAAGAGCACAGTTTAGTACAATTTTAAAATTACCTTTAGTGATATTTGTATGTTATTATTCAGGGAGACATTTTCTTAGGCTCTGAAGGATGATTCTGTTCTACTCCTGTTTTTAATCTGTTATCTTTTGTTTCTAGAGAAACGGCGCTACTAACACAGATCACTTGACAACGGTTCTCAACCTGCAGTTTGCCATTTACCAGGGTCTAGAAAATGTAGAAAAAAAGATCACGTGTCTGCAGCAACTGATCTGCTTACATCCTTTCAACCCTTGGTACTGGAAGTTACTTGCTGAAGCTTATATGAGCCTTTTACAAAATTTGTCTCCATTAGTCATTCCAGCAACAAATCTAAATCAGTCTGAAGAGGTTAGTGTAAGTGATAGTAGTTTCAAAACATCAACTGGAAGAGAGATTAATTTGCAGCCTCACAGATCAGACGGCCAGGAAGAAGGCCCTTGGTCCAGCCTTGCTACAGAAACAAAGAGGGAGAATGCAGTGACTTGTAGGAGCAGCCAAGCTGTAAAAGAATTCCTCTGCACTTCTGAAGAACTGGAAAGGATGGATGAAGGGAAATACGCAGCCTCCGAGTCCTGGGAGCAGAACACGTCGAAGAAAGTTGGGATAAAGGCATGTGCCTCGTTTATTAGAGCAAGGTAACTAAACGTATTCTTAGAATAATGTTAACTTCTCCCAGTTGAGAGATTTAAAGCATATTTTTCCCAGCCTTAATATTTTCAGTTTACATTTTCAATTTAAATGTTTGTTTCAGCATTGGCAACGCTAACTTACAAGCACCCTGCTATTGCTTCAGATCTAAAAAACAAAATCCACTAGCATGGTAGCTGTGAACAACCTAAATCTGAGTGGAAAGAGTAAACCAGTGTCATGCACTGTTGAGAAGAAAAGCGGTTTTTAATGACCTTATTATATGAATCTTTTCAAGTAATTATATACAACAGCCTGTTAAAGCATGACTGTTTCCTGGTTTGGTATTAAAGATGCAGCAGCAGAAATGCCCCAAAGGGAAGGCCAGCCAGTCTTCCTTCTGCAAGTGCCACCCGTCTTATTTGCTTGAAGCCTCATGCTTGAGCGAAAATGTATTTTATAATAATACCCCAATCTGCATAATGGATGAGGTTGAAAAATGAACTCTGTGACAGCTGATTGACAGGGCTGCATTAAAATGCTCTTTCCTTTTCTTCCCTCTCTTCCTAAAACTCTTGCACACAACAAAAATCCCCAAAACATAATCTTTCAAAGAGATAGTTGGGAACTGTTTTTGTTAAAATAGTCTTGGATTTTTTTTCCCCCTCTTGCCTCTCAATAATGTATGAGTCACCGAACATATTTAAAGCCATTTTATGAACTTCCAAAAATGTTTACAGAGAACACTTTATAACTGCCCTCTTAGGGCAAGATTTAAGAAATGTAAAAAAAGATATAGTAGCTTTTAACTGTACTCAGACTAAGAGACAGTGACTGTAATTGCTACTTGGGAGAATTTAATAGATTTAGTACTGATATTGAATATTAAAGCTACCTTTGTATTAAAATAATTTATGTTGCTTGTTTCGGTGTGTATTGTTCAGCATAGAGACAATTATAAATTGTGGGATTTCCTTGCTTGGCTGCACAGTTTCACAAAATGTTTTTGTGGTTTATATTTGCAGATACACTTGTCCAGGGTAAGCTTTTCCCCTGCCCAGGGCTTATGCATCAAATAGGTTGTCTAATATTTTCAAGTCTGTTGGATTTTAAGTGAGATGTGGATGTTGCATAAACATACATGCAGGGCAAATTGCACCTGGAAAAGGGATGTTAGTATTGCTTTTTGTAGGAAATAAGGTTCTGTGTTAAAGCATCATGAATAATTGACTCTTCTGGTTTTGTCAACAAAAAAACCATTGGAGACATGGTTTTGTTTCATTTTCATTCTTTCTTACGTTATGTTGATGCAAATTTTGAACAAAAACACTTTACCAATTAAAAATACTTTCCATTTTTACTTTGAATTTCCCAGTTAAAACGTTACTGAATTTAGAAATGGTTTGTTGGCTCAGACTTGTAAATGCCGATGTTTATAATGCTCAAATGAAAACTTTCATCTAAGATCTTAAGTCTTCTCTTCATAAAAATATACATCTTTATTACAACACGTGCTTCATTTAACTTTGGTAAATGTGATGAAAAAAATCGGGTTTGTTCGTTATGCATAAAGCTTGAATTAAACATAGTTTCAGTAGTGATACTACTAAGTCCCAGTGGTCCCTTGGTTGAATATACTTAGATATTTCCTCTGCTGACATGTTTTACAGTCCTTATGTGAGGAAGACTCTGGAAATTGCCACTGCTCTCTCTGGTCGAGCAGTTGGTGATGGGGTCCCTCTGTGACATGAAGCCACATTGTGAGCACAACGTCTAACCTTCACCGAATTATGGTGGTGACTTCTGGGGCACTGCCTTGAACCTAAAACTGTGATGAAAGCTTTTAGAAAATATTCCAGGGTTGGCCTGTGTGGGGAGGATGTTTGATATTTCTAGCTTTTCAGGTTACAAAGATAATCACTGCCATAGGCAAAAATGTGCTGCTGGCTTGTTAGGCCTTAATAAGGATGTGGGACACCTGACGTACTGCAGTTAACGCTAGCAGATCTGAGCTTCGCTTTTGAATTGTGTGATGAATACATGGGGAGAAAAATGTGCAGAGCAACCAGAGATATTTGGCGTGTTGTTTTTAAAAAATACTTCTCAGTACTTCTCTCATAGCACAGATATACTGTACCCATAGTAGGTTGATACGGATGTATTCATTTCTTTGCAGTTTTTGCAGTTGGCAAAAGTCAGGAAGAAGAGATGGTTTTAAAGTATTGTATTTTGTTTGGTTTTAGGTTTGCTGACTTACCCTTTTGCCAGCTGTGCCTTTTTTTAACTGCCTCTTTCATTTCAGGCTTTTACTTCAGCTTACCCAGTTGCAACAGTCATCCTTTGTGCTAGAGAGTAACGTAAAAGGTCAAAAAGAAATTGATGACAAAGTGGCACGACTTGGTTTCAATGGAAACTCCTTGCTGTTGATGACCAAGGTAAGGGGATGTTTCATTGTGTGCAAGTTCTCAGCTACACGTAGGCTGGTTGAGGTACCCGAGCCAGTTCAGGCACAAAGTCCTGTAAGTGTGACACTCCCCTGAGCTAATTAGCTGTGCCAGGAAGCAAGGAAAATTAGCTGGGGCGGGTTGCCCTGGTAGTGTGTTATCTGGAACTGACAGTGATACCTATATAGTGCTGGCTTGCGTCATGCACGTGTATCTCTGTTCTGCTGAGATTCTCCTTTCGGGAATGCTCAGGGTTGTTAAGTTTCTCATTGGACTTGTATTTGCAGAAGCATCATCATTGTGCATTTCCTGGGATGCAGATTTTGTCTCAGGAATTTTAGATGCCACAAAGTGATTCACAAGTATGAAATGGAAGTGGAGATTACTTTGATGGCTACAGCAGTATTAAACACTTCCAGAAAAGATGCTAACCATTTTCAGAAAAAGCCAGAGATCCTTTTACATGATTTCTTCATTCTGTTTGATGCACTGGGTTCTAGTTTTAAAGAAGTACAAAGGAGGAGAGTAACATTGCATGACTTTATTCATAGAGATTAAACATTTTTAGTGCTATTTATAGAGTTTCTGACTTTTATCTTGAGGAACAAAAGGAAGCCAGCGAGATTCTAACTTTGCTGTCAGTATTACAGCTTTAAGTTAGTGAAAGCCAAGCCATTGCCGGGTTGACAGGCAGTCTTGTGGGATTTCACCCGTAAGAGGGCAGTAGCATGCAGATTATCTCAGGTTTTGAAAAGGCTGGGAAAAGAAACTTCTCTCCTTGCTTCCCGTGGTCCGACACCCCCCAGGAAGAGATCAGAGTGTTGGTGCTGTTGCAAGGTGAGCATTGAACGCAGAGTTGGCATTGAGATTTCCGCTGCTACTCAGAGAGTAAAAATCCCCCCGTACAAGTGTAGCCAGAAGCTGGCGGGGTTGTTCAGCTGTGAAGCTCGGGCTCTCAGTTCTCTGTGCTTATTGCAGAATGCAACAGACAGACAACTTGATCGCGACTTGGAAAGTTCTCCTGGACAGCATGTGGTTCATGTGTCAAAGGCTTTTCTTGTAAAGATCTGTTATTAATGTCATATTTGCTGTTTTCTCTGCAAGTTATTTTCTTGTTTCCCATCTTTCTTATTCTGTTTGCAGGTTATGGGGCAGGATCTTATACCAGAAAAACTAAAAGAGGAATTTCAGGGTGAAGTAAAATGCATAGGCCCTTCAGCCCTGTCATCATTGGTAACTGCATCAGCCACAGAATTTGAAATCAAATGGTTTGGTAATCTCCAAGATGATTTATGTCACTTTGACAGACAATTCTATTCAGATATATATCTCCCACCTTTGGTAACTTAAAGGTTTTGTTGTATTTATTCTCTTATCTCCAAAAGATTATGGAATGATATATGCAATAAAGTTCATATTACATTTTTTAAGAATTCTTACTGTATATCTTTTAAGAATATATATAAATCTCTGCATTTAAACTCTTAACTTCTCGTCATTTTCTTTGTTCACTGATTTGTTTGTATTTAAAATAATAAGGAATCCAGTATAAAATAGAGCTTTCAGTTCAGCTTTCAGAGGTAGCTTTCCATCCTAAACCTCACCGTATTGTGCTCAAAGTGCCTGTGATTTTTTTGGGGCCTGCAATGCCGGTAGGATGGAAGGCTTCCTTTATGATGTCCAGTTTGGAAGTTTTCTGGTATCAGATTCTATGTTATTGCATTTAGAGCCATGGAATTAGCCATTTTCTTAATTCATTTTTTCAATATTTCTTGGTTAATTGACATTATAGTGGTTTCCTGTTCAGAGCTGGATAGCTAGAAATCTTAAATATATTTTATGCTGAGAAATTGTCAATAATTCTATATGTTTTAGAAAAAAAAATCTAAATGGTAAATATTTTAACTTAGAACTGGAAGGAGATTTTCTTTCTTCAAAGCTAAGTGTTTTTTGCAGGCGTAGAAGTAGCTATAGTCTTGTCTTCAGTGTGCTTAGACGAGGGAGGAGAAAAACTGTCAACGTTGTTTGTATGTACTGAAGAGTGTTTAGTCAGATCATATCCTTTTTAAAACCCTGCAAGGAAGAAGGTCTTTGCTGTGAAAACTGGCAACGTTGTTTCTGCATCATACAGCTCCTTATGTTATGCTTTCAGTTGATAATGACACCACTTTACTTTACTTTCTGAAGCATTGGTGCTACATGCTTTGGGCTTCCACAGAAAAAGGCAGAGATTATCCTGTAGTTTCTTTGGCCTGAAATAATTTACATTTGAGGCAAACAAGGTGTGCTCTTCCCCCATCTTCTCTTAGACTGTGAGACTTAAATTCTTTGTAGCTTTTTGTAAAAGTGTTCTTTAATGGATATAGTTTAAAACCAGAAGTCTCTTAGGCATAATTTGCTGTGACTTTTCCTCATGTTTTCCTGTGTTTTCTTTCTGAAGTACTAAAGAGTGCTGAAACTTTAAATAACTCACAATTGAATGGTAATTCACCATATGTGAACACACTTTGTCTCTGCTACTTTTAGGTGAATTTTAAAGCTTTAAGATACTTTTAGGGAACCTGTCAGTAACCCTTGGTATGGTATAGCCCTCTGCTAAGTCGACTGTGAAACCTCTCTGGAAAAATGGAATATCGCTTTCAGCCATGTCAAATTATCTTTGATAGTTTGGTGACTTAACGCGCTTAAACCACATCCTGGTCAGCTTGTTATGAAAGATGATGACTTGGCAAGTATACTTGGGTAAGCGTTAATGCACTCATAATGTATTACAGAATATTTGGTTTAGTCATGTGTGTGCTTTGCTAGGTGGAAGTTTTTTGTGTATGTGTGTAGAGCACTATATTCAGATGGCAGTGAAGCCTGCCTCAAGGGCTGGGGATGCTTTTAAGACTAACTGGTGTCATAAGTTTTCATTAGAGACTGTCCAGAATGTGCTGTAAATTAATTACGATGTTGGCATCAACAGAGGATGTCTTAGAGCAAAAACATAGCAAACGTGGAAAGCTTAATGCCAAATATGTCAGCAAAAAACTGGAACAGGGACTTCTCCCGGTTTCCTCTTAAACTTAAGGTCATGAGTAGCTGCATAAAAAGTCTATAATTTGTTTTGCCACAGCTCTCGAGTAGGTTCAGTGGTTAGGACACCGGAATACAGCTTTTGTGGAACCAGGTCTGTATAGATATTTAATGGGAACTCGCCAAATGATTTGGCTCCACAGTTCAGAAAGTGGAAATAGCTTTGGAGCTGTTTTAGCAGCAAATTAAATACTTGCCAAATGTTGTCATTTTGTGACTGAGATGTCCAAAATACACAGCGGCTGGCCAAGGTGATTTGGAAACTTCTTGGTGTGTGTGCAGATCATTTGACTTGAGGTTGTCTCGTAGACTGGCAACACAACAATTAACTCCCCACTGGCTCCGGGAGTGGAAGGCAAGTGGCAGTTCTTAAGAACAGGCAGTATTTTCTCAAACATAACAATAAAGCAAAAATGTAGTTTTTAACTACTGCAAAGAAAACGATACGAATGTTGTTCTGAATGTGTTGCATAGTTACTGTTCCAAATAACCAGTGTTTATTGCACTGGGGCTATGAAATACTCCTTTGTCCCACTTGTGCCTGGCTTTCTCTCAGCTACTTCAATTCCTCCTTTTTTGGCCTGCTCCTCGTTTTTTTGGCATGCCACTTCTAACTCCAGTGTTCTGTTTCTGCTCATATCTCCCGAGGGGCTTTGTGTTTCCGTCTTGCATTTGAATGCCTCAGCGTTGCTTCTACGTTCTGTGTAATTCTACATCTGCCTGTAATGGATTTCTTCATGTTTTGGCTCTTATGATATTATTATTGGTATTAGTACATGCACCAGTACTCCATGCTGAGTTGAACAGCAAATTTTAGTATTGCAAACTGCAAGTGAGAATCCATTAACAGTTACTAAGGTTTGATTTTGTTATTTTAACGCTTGCTCATGTTACAGGTGCCTTGGGAAGGATCCTCTGACCCTGGTTCTGATGCTTCTGAAATGATTGCTGTGTACAAACACAATCTAATTGTGTGTCTTGCAGGGACATCTTGCACTAGATCAGGTTGCTCAAAGCCCCATCCAACCTGACCTTGAATGTTTTCTTGAATGTTTTTGTTGGGCGCCAGAAAGGACTGTCGTGGTTTAACCCCAGGCGGCAACTAAGCCCCACACAGCCACTCCCCCCACATT